TTTTTTGATTTTTTTGTTAATAAGTTTTTGATTTTTTTGTTAATAAGGTATCCAAAAAAAAAACAAAAAATTTCGAGGGCAACCCCCATGGGCCCCCACCCCTTCATCTCTATATCTTCAATTCTGGGACCCCCCAACTTCAAACGGCTTTCTCCGCCCCTGACTCCGAGTATGTGGTTGAGGGACAAGATCGTAGGGGTGTATCTTATGATTGAAAAAAGAGACATTTGATCATTGAGGGTCACCAATGTAACCAACTTAAAAAATCATGATGATTAAATTGATTATGCACATACAGTTCGATCGAGTATTGCAAAAGAGAGAATATGTTTTTGTAGCATTACATATGAACCTTTTGTGAATTTCCAAACAATTTCATAGAAGTATGAAAAAGTTATCTAATGCGTTGATATTTATGTTGTTTGCTTGTGTGTTTAGTAAATAGTCTTGCTCGGAGCAAGCAAGAGTTTGACTTTGGAGGTGTTATAAGTGTATTTTACAGGTGCTGGTTAGAGTTATTTCATTATAGATACTAAGGTTGTCAGGAATGTTTTGCTGAGGAATGGTGACCGGGGGTCCCTCCTCTCCCTTGATAGCTCGAGTCTATTAATTTGTGACTAAATATACTATCCTAACCCTACACCTAGTCATAATTTAAGAAAAGTGGAGAAAGAAGGATCAAAGCTAGGAACGTGTCGACGTGGTCTACGATAGAATACTAAATGTCTGAGGAGGGTGAATAGCTTGCCACCTTCGGTGTGGTGGAGTCTAGTTGCCAGCCCAGTCGACTAAATAGATTCTAGAGAGTCGAAAGACAACTCAAATAAACTATGATCATTTGATTTGCTCTCTAGTACGATAACGTTCATGTAGTGGGCAATTCGAATCCGAGTAAGGAATGGAGAGAGAAGAACGTTGAGAGGTAGAAGTTTTTTTGTTGGAAAATTTTCGTCGAAAAGATTGGAGAGCTGAAAAGCAAAGAGGACGAGCGAGTAAAAGTTGAAAAAATAAAATATTCCCAAGCATATATAAGGTATGACATGATGAATACCAAGAGCCAAACTCTCGAAAAGATCATCACGATCGTCGTCGAAATGATAAATACGAAGAGCCAAACTCTTGAAATTCGGGTTTTATTTACTTATTTTATTTTTTCTAATAATAAATTCTGAGAACTAACATGAAATTAGTCTTAATTTTCAACTCTTTTTTAATTATAATAATAACATAACAAATAAATAAATACATATCTAATTTGCGATCATCATCACCGCTCTGGATTCCCTCTATTTTGTATCCAAACTCAAAAGAAAAATAATAATTAGAGGGACAGATAAACGTATGTTCAACCGGAACGACGTAAATGAGTCGATGCCACACACTTTGACATCAACCTTCTATGGAAATTAATGCTTTCAACGAACTACTGTCTACTGACCTAATACCCACTTAGACATTATGGCAAACGTGACAGAAAATTTTCATCCAAGGTCACCCAACTTACATGTTTTTTTTTTTGTGGTCAATATTCAAATTCATTTTGTTTTAATTGGGTTATTCTCTTTATATTTGTTAGTTTTGGTACTCGATATAAATGAAATAGTCATATTAAATTTGAATTACCAACGTAAAACAAATATGTAAGTTGGCTGATTCTAAATATCAACGTAATGGCCAAAGTGAATTTGATCATTCCATCTACATCCGTTATAAAATAACGAAATTAGTAATCTAGTCAATCGTATTGACATGATGGGATAAAATGAAATAAAAATATAAGTTTTTGTTTGGTGATTTTGTAAATGATTTATAAATAAGTACAGTACGAGGAATAATATGAGTCTCACGAAATGTGTGGATAATAATGAGCATTAATTATAAATTTGTGAGTGAAATTAATGTTTGATATTGACTGAATTTATAAATCAATTTATATATTGTATTCAAACGGAGGCTAAATTAAGTAATGATGTTGGAACAAAATTTTTCGCCGAAGTACTACATTATATTGAAATAAATTGAAGTTGAGTGATACACGCGACAGAAACATATAAGTTGGATGACCTCGAACAAAATTTTCAGAGTGTTTTTGAATGAGATAAGGATAATCCATCTTCGTTCCCTCAAAATCAATCACTTTTCTCTTCTACTTTCTTGCAAATGGTGATGGGATCATATGCAAAACCCTCCTACCAAAAACTGAGGCCAGAAGTTTGGTTTAATGAAGATGGTGATTATCATGATATTGATATCAGAGAGAAAGTGACCAGACGGTTGAGAAGCAGCCGGTTCAGAAAGGTGCATATCAGGAGAAAACTGAGGATAAAAATTCCAAGTTTGAAGAGATTCTTGAGTAGAAAAGCAAGGCTGGTGAAGATTGCTTGGGGTAAGATTTTGAGAAGATTGAGGGAAAGTCAATCCCATTTTGGTGATCTTTTTGCTGGAAATTATCTCTTCACGCAAGTTACTCCAACCCCATTGAAGGGTGCTGATACTAGGTATTCTCTTCCCAAGATATTGCATGACCAATCCCGACGGTCATCTGTGATACAGTACTGAATATGACTGGACATATAATGAAGAAGCTTTTAGCTTCCTTTTTCTTTCTTAATCCTCTCCGAAACTATTCAAACTTTCTTACCAAACATTCAAGTTAATTAGATTGCTTGTGATATGTTTGGCATGTTATCGTCTACAACATTATCAAATTCGAAGGAGATCCGTTGTACACAATATCGAATAGTATAATTTTTCATTTCTTGTTTCTGTCATAAAGAAATAAAATCTTATTCATTATATATGTATACATGCACTGTGTTGTGTTGTGTACCCAGCATTCCCTTGCAAGTTTACAATCCAATGCAGTATGATCCGCATGCCCAATATGCAAGGAGATGTTAGTTATATAATATTGTACAAGATTGAAGATTACAATATGATGAACAAGCTTTTAGCTTCGATCCTTCTTACTTCCATTCAAGTTGATTAGATCGATTCTTATTATATGTTTGCTACGTTTGGCTTGATATCAATGGATGCAGTAAAAGAGGTAAACAAATTTAAATGGAATAAATAATTAAAATATACAGCCAACTACATGAATTATTTTGTTAAAACTTGATTTATAGCTAATATTGAGTTTGAATTCACAGCTTATTACTCAAAGTAGTAAAAGCCATAATATATTGTTAATAGATGGTGAGAAAATAAATGAATTATAATGCTAGTAGTTGGACTGTTGGAGGATGGGGCATTCAAAGGCCAGGATATCTGCAAGATATATGACCTGTCCTTGGGTTGTAGGTTTGGAAAAAGACAGTGGCAATTGAATTGCAGTGGGTTTTAGTAAGGTTAAATTTATTAGCCTATGTTTGAAACCTTTTTTTTTTTTTTGGTTAAATGAATTTGTAATAGTAAATTTTTGGAGAATTTGTAGTTAAAAAGTAGAAAAAAATTGAATTTGGGTACAAAATATTTTATTGTGAGAATTCGTGGTTGAAAATGAATTTTTAGATAATGGAGATCAAATATAAAAGTTACAATTGTTGACCTTGGATTCTATACGGATGAAGTTGTCTAACAAATTTAGGCTCCACTCACGTTTACGTGGTGTGTTCTCCACACAACACAATTGATCAAACCGTTAGAAGCACTTGACATTCTCAGGAGGTAGGGAAGGCAATCACGGGCACTTTGATGATCAAATCAGTTAACTTGTATAATTGTATTTGGATGTGGGATGTACGGAAGACGTGAGCTACAACAGTATACGGGCATCGGGGATTTATGAGAAAACAATGAGAGAGCACTTATACTATGAATGCGTAAAATTGCATACTTTCAAATGACATTAAATGTGAGTTCATATAGTCAAAGAGGTGAAATAGCTATGGTTGAATTTTTGAATTAGGAGGAAGGGAAGAAGGTCAAGATGCTAGCTAATTTATGAGTCCGTTTGGTACACATTAAAATGAGAGAGTGCATTTTTTTGAAGTGATGTGATGGGGAATATGTGGTTGAAAATGAAGAAAAAGTTATTGATGTGATGGAAAATATTATTTTATTGAGGAATGTGTAGTAGAAAATGAGTAGAAGAATGAGANCATTTTTTTGAAGTGATGTGATGGAGAATGTGTGGTTGAAAAAGAATGAAAAGTTATTGATATGATGGAAAATATTATTTTATTGAAAAATGTGTGGTTGAAAATGAGTAGAAAAATGAGAATGAAAAAAATAATGTGGCCAAACTGGGGCATATATGTGCTAGGCGTGACCCGTGTGAAAACTCCCAGCAAATATTAATTGTAGCTTTGCCATTTCTCAAAATTTACGATCCATTTCGGAAGGTCCATCATGTTTGTTATATTGACATCTTATGCTCTGTTTGAGTTCCCATTCTTTGGAAAATAAATTTTAGCCTCTGTTTGTTTCTTATTTTTCATTCATAGAAATGAAAAATATAACCGTTATCCATCACATTAAGCCATCAATTTTGAATTTCTATCTCTTGTGTGGGGCCCAATAACGACTATATTTTTCATTCTCATTCTACAATAATGAGAATCAAACGGGATAATAGTGATTTTTTTTTTCATTTTTTTGAGAATGTATGGTTAAAAGTTATTAAAAAAAAAAATTGATTTATCTATAAAATTATTTTATTGGAAGAATGTATACTTAAAATTGAGTTTTAAAAAAAAATGAATCTTTAGAGAATATGACTCAAACAAGGGCTTTATAATATTGTTTAGAAGCACTTGCATAATATGAAAGATATTTCCAAATTTGACTTCACCACTATAGACCCCATTTTGGCACGTAATCTTATATCGAGAGATGATCCCATGGCATTGTTTCGAAGAGTCCAGGCGATCTTCACAAAGGTACCTTCAAAACATCAAACGGTCTTGAAATCACGACAAACTACCGTCCAAAAATGGCTATATGACACTATTTCAACGACATTATGTTGCGATTTCAACGATTAGCTTAACCATACAATTTAATTTAATATTATACGACATATATAATAAAATGAGGAGAAAATATATCACAAATTTTAGGCCTTATAGAGGTATTTGACCATAAAATTTGATCTTACTCGTTGACATATCAACAAAATCTATAGCTCATCATTATTTTGTTAAAGATTTAGGTAAACCATTTAACAGTCACGTTTGAATTTAACTTTTTTGCATGGCCATGTTATATTGAATTAAATTACAACACATGGTCTAGTCAAATACAATCCGAGTGCTCCATTCCCCAACTCACTTCATTTTTTTGGTGTAAAAAAAATTTTTTATGCGTAATTTTTTTTTTTTTTACATATTAGCCTAACTTGTAGTTCGATCCTGAATCCATTCCTACTAGTGTTACTATCGGAAAGTGTTATTGTGCAATTTGGACAATTTACTTGAATAGGTAAAATAGCCAACATTATAATCTTGACCAAATAAGGTGCCAATCTCGTTCATTGATAGTAGACAACATGAATTAATGATCGAAATAAATACATTTGCCATACTCTGCTTCTCAATATAAGCATCCAACTATTATTATTTTAAAGTGATCAATGACACTAAAATGTATGCTCAAAAAATTGATATTAATACTGCATAATAAATCAATTTTATTTATGCAACAAAATTTTGTTGTTGCCTCTGTTTGGTTTCATTTTCTTTTACAAAAGTTAATTTTCAAAAATCAAATATTAATTTTAATCATACATTTTCTAAAACACAAGTATCCATTTTTTCAATACTCATTTCTTGGAAAGTAAGGATTCTCTTTACCGTTTTCAAGCTATTTTTGATTTTCTTCTCTTTTCTATTTTTGAAAACGTTTTTTTGAAAATAAGTTAAAAATTTACAAAGAAAACCTAAAACGACAAATTAGTCGTTTTAAGTTTTTTCAGTTATAATCAAGCCAAATTTCGAAATGTGTTTTGAGTGTTTTTAATCACCGCCAACCACCACCGCGGCCCACCATTGCCGTCGCCTGAAAACCACCGCCAGCAAAACTACTACCTTTAATCAAGGTCGAGAACGCAACATTATCGTCCTCCTAGTCCTCACCCAATACCCATCTCCTCGTCATTATGGCATTCCACCTTTCATCATCAATCCTCCTCATCTCCCTCTCCAATTCGTCACTCTCATTTTTACTACCCTCATTCTCTTCTTTCACACGGTCCTCAGGCAAAGGGACAACCCTGGACGGGTACGAAATTGGGAAAATCACTAGGGCATCCTCGATGTACCGCATTTCATCCTGGGTCCACGTCCGGGTACCTTGGTCAGCTTGAGGTGGGATTTGTTCAGGTGGAGATTTGGGTTGGGATTAATGGGACTGTGTTTCTTAGGATGGAGGGGGTTGGATTCTAGTTGGGTAGGAAACGGGTTGGATGGGGAGGGGTTTACGGAAGTTGGGATTGGCATCTGGGTCAGGTTCTGCGGAGAAGAGGCGGTGGAGAAGGAGGGAAGAAATGTGGTGCAACGGCGTTTTGGAGAAGTAGTAACGTTGGGTTTGAGAGAAGAGGTACTTGAAAACTGCCATTGTTGTGTATAAAGCTTGGAAATGGAGAAGCAGAGAGAAACAAGGTTTAATTGTGGTTAGTGATCCAGGTGAAGGTGGTCGACTGCAACGGCAGAGGAGATGAATGTGGTGGCAGTGGGCTTCGTTGAGAGAGAGAGAGAGAGAGAGAGGAAAGTAAACGTGTTTTTCATTTTTTTTATTTTTGAATTTTTTTTTTCAAAATGTCAAAAAAAACACATTTTCAATGGACACTCAAAATACAAAACCAAAAATGAATTCAAAACTCAAAAAACAAAACTTAAACACAAAGAGAACAGATCCTAGTTGTTTAGTAAATCAAAATGAAACCCAAACGCGGAGGCATTATACTAGAAATAGAAGTGGTCTTTAGACACTATTCCCAACACTAAAATCATCTTAAGTGCTTGTATGGGATATATTTTTCGATAATTGATTTTTTGGAGAATGTAAAATTAAAGAGTAGAAAAAATTGTATGGAAACATGAAAAATAATTTTTTGAAAAATACGGGGTTGAAAATAAAAGGGGAGAAAAGTGATTTTAAACATAAGGGCCAAAATATACTAAACTAACATTGATTAGTGAGCTCGATAACTAAATATGCATTTGGTTTGCTATTTTCAAACTGTTTTCAGTTTCCAGATTTGCAAATTATTGAAAATGTATTTGGTATGGTATTTCTGAAAATGCATTTCCTAATACAAGCTTAAAACTATAACATAAAACTCAAAACGAATTTTTGATGTTTTCAGTGTTTTTAGCGTTTTCAGTGAAAATTCTGAAAACATGGAACAAGAGTTTAAACAAAATTTTATTTAAATAAATTTAAAAATTATTTTAAAAAAAATTGTAACAAATAAAATTTTAAAACTTTTAAAAAATAAAATTCAAAAAAAGTTCATAAAATAAAAAAAAATTCCAAAATCCTAAAAAATTTAAAATATAAAATAAAAATTTTGAAAAAAAATAAAACTATAAAAAATTCTAGAAATATAAAAATTATAAAAAGTAAAAAATAAATTTACATAAAAATTGAAAAATATATATATATTTAAATAAGTACAAATAAAAATATTATCCGTTCACATCATTATATATATTATTTGATAATATATTAACATAAAATAGTTCTAATTTTTTTGATTAATCAAATATAATGAAATAAAGTATCCTAAAATAATTTTTCAAATTTTTAAACCAAAAGTATTTTTTATTTTGAGAAATAATTTTTCAAAATGACAAGTCAAATACATTTTTAGCGATCTTAAAACAGACATTCAAAACAGAAAATTGAAAATGAACTCAAAACTTGAACACTAACCAAACAAGCCCTAAATGTCTGGATATGATTTAAAAGTTTACGTGTCTATTCGTGTAAAATATTTGTAACTTTTTAACAAGAATAATATTGATTCCAATGAAATGTGTGGAAAATAAGTAGATAAATGCCACTATTTGACTTTGACAAAATAGAAAAATAAGCTTATTAATTACTTTTATTTTTACACGAACAAAAGCTAATTCTGAGAATTTACTTAAAACTAGAAAAGTTAATTTTAAAAATAAATTTTCAATTGATGCAAAAGAAATAGGTAAAATACATATTTAACAAGAAGACATTGGTTACTTTTCAAAGAAGTCATTATTCACTTAAAAATTAAAATTTAAGTAACTTAAACTTCTTTCATACTTACAAGCCGTCTTTTAGAGCATTTTAAATGGAGTTTTAAATTAGATCTAAATTGTAATTTAGATATTCAATGTGGTAAAAAAAATCTCTTCAATGGAGAGATGAAAAGAAATAAAAAGCGTGTTCTTCGTGAAAAATGTAAAAAGAGTGGTCTTTTACCCTTTTTTTTTTAACTACTTGTTGGATTCACGAAAGTCAAAAAGCTGCCAACCCACCTGCACCGAAATCTTGCTAACCCACCAGCAATTACAAAAAAATAAAAATGGATGGTATGGATTAATTTGTTCTTGCATCCAACGACCCAAGTTCATCACAATTTGAATCTTTTTATAACTCTAGTTTTCGCCCGTGCAATGCACGGGTTGTGTTTTTCTCGAGGATATGTTAGCATTGCATGAAGTAGCAGGTTATTATTATGCTTCATTTGAAGGATTTCAGCTTTTATTTTTGTGTTCAAGTT